TGGAGGGAGGCAGGAGAGGACCAGGGGAGATCAACCAGCAGCAGTTCACTCTCCACTGGACCACCAGGGAAAGCAGCAGGAACAAGAATCCCCCCTCCCTACATAAGGTAAGAAGGGAGGGGGGATATTAAGTAATGTACACCCACCTCCCGCACACACCACATACAGCACACAGCACCCACACACACAGCACCCACACAGCACCCAGCACACACACACACACATACAGCACCCACACACATACAGCACCCAGACACATACAGCACCCGCAGACACATACAGCACACACACACACACATACAGCACACACACACACAGCACACACATACAGCACCTTTACACATACAGCACCGCACACACACAGCACACACATACAGCACCCGCACACCCATACAGCACACATACACATACAGCACACACACACACATAGAGCACAGACACACATACAGCACCCACACACACACACAGCACCCTCACACACATACAGCACACACAGCACACACATACAGCACCTTCACACATACAGCACACACATACAGCACCCACACACACACACACACACACACACACACAGCACCCACACACACAGCACCCAGCACAAAAAGCACACACACACACACATACTTTCTCTCTCTCACACACACTCACAAATTATTATTATTTTTAATTTAGATTTAAGTTCACCCAGCCTCTCTATCTTTGGGAAAGCTGGAGTGGATTCTTTCCTTAGGGTCCAGTGGGGATCATTTTCCTTAAAGGACCACTATAGGCACCCAGACCCAGGGACGTTTTAGCCGTGAGGCAAACAAGGCATTTGCCTTGGGCGGCATTTTCCAGGGGGCGGCAAAAAAGGCCGCCCCCAAGTGCCCAGGGCAAATGTCTTGTTAGCCTTGCAGCTCAGGGAAAAGTGTCGCCAGCGCCGCCCGCCCAGCAGCCCAGCAGCCACTGGACCCCAGGGAGATCCCCCCCCAGCATTCCCAAAGGTAAGGAGGCTTGGGGGGGTTAAATAAAAAAAAAAGTGTGTGTCTGTGTGTGTCTGTTAGTGTGTGTGTCTGGTAATTAGTGAGTGTGTGTCTGTTAGTGTGTGTCTGTTAGTGAGTGAGTGTGTGTCTGTTAGTGTGTGTCTGTTAGTGAATGTGTGTGTATGTCTTTTAGTGTGTATGTGTGTGTCTGTTAGTGAGTGTGTGTGTGTATGTGTCTGTTAGTGTGTGTGTGTCTGTTAGTGAGTGTGTGTGTATGTGTGTGTGTCTGTTAGTGTGTGTGTGTCTGTTAGTGAGTGTGTATGTGTCTGTTAGTGTGTGTGTATGTTAGTGGGTGTGAGTGTGTTTGCCTGTTAGTGTGTGTGAGTGTGTGTCTTTGTTAGTGAGTGTGTGTCTGTGTGTGTCTGTTAGTGAGTGTGTGTGTCTGTTAGTGAGTGTGATTGTGTTTGCCTGTATGTGTGAGTGTGTGTGTCTGTTAGTGAGTGAGTGTGTGTCTGTTAGTGAGCGTGTATTTGTCTGTTAGTGAGTGTGTGTCTGTTAGTGAGTGTGAGTGTCTGTTAGTGAGTGTGTGTCTTTGTTAGCTAGTGTATGCATATCTGTCAGTGAATGTGTGTGTGTGTATTTAGAAGGCGGGGCGGGGGGAAGGGTTGGGTGGTGGGGGTGGGGGCCTGAGTTTTGTCCTGCCAAGGGCAGCACAAAACCAGGATACACCACTGCCCAGACCACTTCATCTCAATGAAGTGGTCTGGGTGCCAGGTCCATCTAGGATTAACCCTGCCTGCTTTAAACATAGCTGTTTCATAGAAACAGCTATGTTTACATATGGGTTAATCCAGCCTCTAGTGGCTGTCTCATTGACTCTCGCAATAGATAAAGTTTTGTAGCGATAAGAAGGGTATCACATTAATAACTTGCAAGTGTGCTGCCTGTACTGTGCAAGAGAAGTCCCTGATGTAGATAATATTTATATGACCTCTGATTGCCACATGGTTAAATTGTTCTCTCTTGACTTTTAACAGTTGTCCTTCTACTTTTCTAGAAAATAACCCAGCAGTGAATGAATTGTTATTTATGTTACGGGTTCTTTTAGCTGAGTGGGATTTTCAGCAGGTAGTCTTGTTAATCTGGTTAGACACAACATCTCACCTAAAATAGCATGTCTGGCTCGTATTAGTGGAACAGATGACTCTGCATCGTATTGTCATTGGAGGTCTGCTGGCTTCCTGTGGTTTCTCTTATTGTGACATGCCTAAAATAGCCATCAGCTTCTGAGAATTGGCGAACTTTTTCTGTAACACACACTCATTGTGACCTTTGAATAGCCATGGGGAAATTATCTTAATCCCTTGATGGGGGTTGCAGTGGTTTATGTTTTTTTATCTATGTCTGTAACTGTCATTGCGATCTTAGACAAATATTGCAAAAAAGAAAACTTGGTTGCACTTCGGCATGCTTTACCTGTTAACGGTTAATCCCTGCTGGCACATTTGTTTTAAACCTTCTGATTTCAAGAGAAATCGACACTTATACAATTCACCTTGCTAACTCCTTCCAACAGTCAAACAGACATCCAGGAGGGTTTCCACCTCACTCTCTTTGAACTGAAGGTCTAAGGATCAGGAGGCTGTTGGCTTTTTTCTTTGACTGGCATTGCTCAGTTTTTTCGAGATGCTTCTTGCCTTTGAGTTGAGCCATGTTTCTCTGTCAAACTTGGTGCAGATGGGTTTGTCAAAACGCAAATTTTGGGCCGGTGTGGAGCTTCTGGCTCACGCATCTAGTTCTTGATGCCGTCTAGGCAATGCTCCCAAATAAACGCAAGTTACATCTTATTTTTAAAGGTTTTTGTGTTGTTTGGGACTGATTATAATTAAATATATAAATATAAAAAAGAGCTACACAAGGGACTTTGAAAATAATATTTAATATGCATACTGGAAACTTTATTTTAAGACACATTAACACTATTTCCATTAGCAGGGGGATTCTCCATAGTCATCTCTCTTTCTCTTCCCTTTCTGGGTGTCCAAGTTATGCCCACCATCAGTTCATTAATCTAATTCAGTGCATATAATAACTGCTCAGCTTTTCCATAAGGTTCAGTGAAAGTTTAAACATGCTTTTGTAATGTTAATGTGTTCATTATTCCAAGACATTTCTTCCCCGACATGAGGGCTTTGTCCTTGACATTGGTTGGCTGCTTTGAACCACACTCTGTGGGGTATACATGGTGTTTAAGGCCTGAAAGAGTCATAATAGATTTGAATAGCATTCTTGGGAAGCCCCCATACAGCCCCCTCCTGAAATCTTCATATCTCCCAATATTGCCAGGTATACCCAGGTATCTTCCCTAATATCTCATTACATCTCTCAATGTCCCAATTGCAGAAAGAGTAAAAGCAGAACAGGCAAAACGATCTAGAGTTGAATTTTATGTATTAAGCTCACCCAACAGATTGCTTCTTATAAATGGAAAAAAATATTGAAAATGTAATGAGTACAGAAGATAAAAGATCAGGGAGGGAGATGAATTTCCCATGCCAGCAAAAAAATAATTTTGCAGACTGTAAATTTAATTAGAATGTTTATATTAAAAAATGTAACATGACAACATACTGAAGATTGTATCCAGACAACCCAAAACAGTATAGTGGGGGATATGCAATGGGAGCCATCAGGAGTAATCAACGTCACACCTGGTGGTACGTGGCAGAATTAGTCAGGTGAGACGCATCCTAGGTAAGTATACTGTGGATACATTTTAAGGTGTTTTTATAAAGTGCTTTCATTGGACACTGATTGCTGTGGACTTCTTTAGAAATTATTATACGCTAGCATAGTATGGATACCATATGCCTAGAAGGACGTTGTAGACTTTTTATACACAGATATGACCGAAAGTTGCTTTGTGATAAGATTCATCAGGAAGCTGTTAATTTCACTTTGCTGAGTGCCTGTACCTTCTCTGATTAGCTAGAATCATGTTACTAGGGGTTGGTGCAACCCCAGGCTTAGAGCACCACAAGTACTTTACTTTGGATCATTTGCTTTGAAGAGTTTTATCAATTTAGGAGTGCATTCTCCTTCACTGGAAATTTATGTAGATTTTTTTTTTTTTTTTAGCATATTGATGTTAATAGCATTTCTTGTGAGAACAAAGGCTATCAATTCCCTGCGGGTATTAGCCAATGAGAGGGGGAATAATTTGAGGGAGGGAATCGGAGAGACAAGAGCATAGGGAAGTCACAATCAAAACTATTCACCGTGTGAATTTCTATGAAGTCAAAGAGAATTTTCAATGTTTGACTGTTTTATCCTTCAATTTACTTTGAATTTGAGAATATTCTCAGTTTTGTTAATAATCCTGATTACGTAGCAATAGTTGCAGATCTTCCCAGAATCGTTTTAGAACGTTGCACTCCTACTGCACATGGAGGAATATTCTTCTAGCTTGGTGATAACATCAGCATACTGGTTGAATAGAACACGTTTAGTACAGGGTTAAGTGTCAAGAAGATCCTTATTTTTTTTTAATTTTTAAGAATTCCCACAAATGAGCAGAGCCCTAGAGAAAACCCTGAAATGTTTACACATACCATGACATGCAGCTGCTAAATCAGTATTTGGAATAAAAACAGTGTCTTTCTTTATGTATCTTCACAAAAATTTAACCCTGAAATTGAGGCTCCATTGCTCTCAGCCTATCAGCAGCTGCCTAGATACCCTTCCTTGTAGTGTGCTGCAGAGTGGAATCCTGGCAGACAGAAGCATTGGGTGCGGGAGCCCCAGGTTTGGTTTCTCCCCTGAAGGTAGAAAGGTGTCCAGTCACTCCTGCCCTGTAACATCTTAAGCTGGTGGGAGAGTTTATATATCCCTTTCACTGAAGGACTAGTATGTTCCAATGCCCCGGAATCGTGTATATATGATTTTTAATATTGCACACAGAATACATTTTATGCAAATTAGTCTCCTTTGACATCCCATGCTACCATTATAACATCAACATGTCTTTAACACCCAGCAGCTGCATGGACCAGTTGGGATATCTACAGAGAAGGTCAGAACAGGTCTCCATGTCTGCCTTGGTAAAGATCGTTGCTGATGCTCCTTCCCGGTCAGCGACCAGAAGAGAGCATTGAGAAGGGTCTGAACTGAGCTGTAGGTGCAGACCTGCTGGACAGCCCACCAGACCACCAGGGAATCCACTGGACCACCAGGAAGCATACTCAACCACCAGGTAAATACATGATTGCCCCCGTCCTTGCCCAAAAGCCAATCAGGAAGAGGACAACACAAAAACACAGCCTTCCCACAAACCTAAACCCCCACACTCATCCTTCCATAGTCACACCCATATTCACCCTCTCACTAACTCTGCCATAATCACTCCCTTCACCCGATCACACTAACCCCCAAAACCCTATTACACTCAACCTCCAACCTTATCACATTCACCACCCTACTCATTCTGTGACAATCACTCCTGAAGACAGTCATACTCATATACACACACAAAGCACTGCTTCTTCATAAACAGAATGCACAGTGACCTCAAGAATCCCACCCCCCCATACGCACAACACACCAGAAGCATCTCCCCGCACTTATACTCATAGACAGATATGTATACACATGCTCATATCCAAACACAATGATTCCCACTGTCAGACAGGCACACACACAAGTACTCAATGCCAGGCATGAACACACAGACACACAAACAGAAATGACCACAGCCCGACACACTCTGTCAGAAACACATTGTGACTGTATGTCTGCATTTGTTAATGTGTGTGTCTCCGTGCATCAGTGAATGTGTGTATCAGTGTGTCTAAAAGTTATTCTGTCCATCCAAACTGTTTGTTTGTTTCCATTAAAAAAAATGTGCTATCTATAAATACTAAAATGAAAAATACATATAAACATGATTTCCCTGGACACCCAAAATATGTGAGTTCTGGTGTTTTGCTTTTTTCGCAAACAGCTCGGAAGTGAAGGGGTTAAGACTTAAGAGTCCAACTCTGCGATTGTATGTATCTTGAATAGAATTTATCTATATATTCATCTGTCGAATCTTGCTTTTTTATGTTCTAAGATTGTATATTGAATGTGGAAATGAAATCCCTTCTGCTAGAAGTTCGTAGAGGCTTTTAAGATATTTAGGTCACAGAAAAAGAAACTCAGAGTTAATACATAGCTTAGCTGATTGTTTCTTCTCATTAGTGCCTCTGTGTTATGTGTCTCTATTGATTTTTTTGGCTACAGAATGTTATTCGGTGTTAATGAATACACTGAAAGACACAGCCATCAGGGAAAACATTTTTATTCATGAATGATTGACAGAAAAACAAATTACAAATCATTACCACATCAAATGCGTCCCTACAAAGCATAAGGTATAAATTTAGTTTGCACACATTAATGTGCAAATTCTATTTTTACAGAGGCTGTTATGTTAGTTACGGGAAAACAGTATTAAGGTGAGCAGTCACAAGTAATTGACCAGGAAAGGAAATTTGTTATATTTTCAAAAGACTGTCTCCTGTAATCAAATCTATCAGTGCCAACAGGGACGAAAGGGGCTGCTATTATTTTAATTAGTTATCCTTATCTCAACTTCACGAGATTATGGATAAAATTATGACAATGAATTTCAGAAATTCAGTGGTTTAAAATTTGCTGAGTGATAAGTTTCATTAAACAAATGAGAAAGTATTGTGTAAACATGCAGTCACAGAGGGTTACTGCGAAGCCGGTCAAACCTCATACCTCGTGCACGAAAACTGCAAGAAAACATTCACACTTTTATACAGAGCAATACTGGCAAGCTGTACTATTTGAGTCCATTTAAACTCTAAAACAGTCATTCAACAAAGTAAGAATTGCTGAGAGGTGAATTTAAACTTTAATGCCAAAGTAATTAAACTGGAAGCACAGCTGGCTTGATGAATTATTATATTTCTACTATTTTGGCTTTAAGAATACTAAAGGCGGAGATGGCGGCTTGATCAGAGAGCTCCCGCGCACCCACTACCATCCAAGCCCCTGTAAGCCGCATAGCGACCACACTCCGACGCCTGCATGCCCCACAAGGGTCCCAGTGCCACCCCACGAGGGAAAAAAAGACGGGATCCGCTCACCTCCTCTCCTACCGTGGCAGATATGTTCGCGGCTACAAATGCCGCTCAGGCCGCACAAGATGGCCGCCAGACACGAGACTCCCACTCCCCACCAACAGGCACAAACAAGGGACAGCCTGACCAGGCAGGAGACGCCACCAGACACATCCTCCAGCAACTCACAGAGGTAAAAACATTTCTGGCAGGGGAGATCACACGCAGCACCCTAGACATTAAAGCAGAGATCCAGGCCCTGGGCGCCCGCACGGCAGAGTTAGAACAGCGCATGGAAACACTAGTACAAGGCCACAACTCTGTAATAACACACTCCACATCCCTGCATCAACGCCTCAGTGAATTAGAACTGCAAGTGGAGGACCTCTCCAATCGCACCAGGCGAAACAACCTCCGAGTCAGGGGCTGGCCGGAAGCACCATAGGAAGGCCCCTTGGCACCCATTATGGAGGAATACTTTAGCAAACTGCTACCAGAAATACCCAAGGCCCAATGGGCGATGGACCGGGCACACAGGGCTCTGCGTGCCCGGCGCCCGAACGCAGATGCGCCACGAGACATAGTAATCTGCTTCCATTACTTTTCAACTAAGGAAGCTCTACTGAGACACAATAGACATCATGACTTCACCTATAAGGGCAAACCCATATCTCTATTCCAGGACCTGGACCCGAGCACGCTGCAAAGAAGGAGGGAGTGGAGGCCATTGACAGATCTATTACGGCAAAATTAAATCCGCTTCACCTGGGGCCACCCCTTTAAAATTGTGGCCTTCAAAGCGGGGAAGACAATCACTTACTTACCGGGAGGAGACCCAAGAAAATTCCTCCGGGATCTGGACATCGCACCGCCGCGAGAGTTCGCTCTACCGGGACCGACTCGTCCGGTTCTCACACCCCTTCCAAGGGACTGGTACACGGTCACAGCACGAGCGGAGAGAGAGGCCTGAAACCTACAGCAGGACTAAACGGCCACAAGGTTCAAGGCAGCAAGCTCCACACGTCGGACAGATAAGCTCACCCAAGGGACTACCATATCTTTTTTACTGGCCTTTTTTCTTTTTTTTTTTTTTTCCTCCTCCTCCAGCCCCACAGGCATGAGCTGGGCCCTGAGGGACCCAACATATAGGGACTGTCACTTCCTCAATGCGCTTACCATGATATGCCAAACTAAACTCTGATTCGCCTCTAGAGGCGCAGCCTCTCCCTTTTTTATGTACCTCATCACATACTTTGTACCTCAAGCAGGAGACGTCAAGGGCATGTTATGGGAAGGAGGAGGGGGGGTGGTGCTGGCTGACACACGGTACAACACACGGACCGTTCGACAGCACGGGGCCAAAGATGCCAGGTAGACCTTGGGGGGACTAAAACACACAGTGTCCGCACACACCGAGGGAGACGCACCAAGATACACCACACCGAAGTTTTACCTGCAGTTACTCGTTATAAGAAGGGGGGGGGGGGACTGGAGGGAAATGCGGGCTGACGTACTGACAACCCACGAACGCAATCACCACATATCATACCTCCTTTTGGGAGAGGTACCCCAGACGGTAACATCATAGACAAGATAGCACCCACATACATTAGACGGGAAACCTAGGCTCAGACCCTCCACACCCGCTGGTAGCATGGTGACGGCCACACGTAACTCTCCCACTTTCCACCGACGCAAACACGACCTGGACAAAACGGGGGACCACATCATAGCGAACATTCAGCACCATGGGAAGTACTAGAAACCCAGTACAGACACGGCAGCGAGTATTAGAACTCGCAGCACCAGCGGAGTGCCCTAGCCAAAGGGCCATAGAACAAAAATGGTTGCAAACCACAACGCAGTGGACAGGCGCGGGGCACTCACCAACTCCGAGAGATGGCATTCCACACGTCACTCGGAGGGGGTGAACACCCCCACTTTGATCTGGCACAGGTTAAGACCAGATGGTTACTAACTGTTTATCTTTTATGTATATGTGAATGTTCATTGACAATGTTTTTCGATACTCAACCTTCCTTTTTCTCTTTTACACTATCCCTTAAGACAAGTACTAATCTTCAATCCACCTTCCCTGCCTGGATGCTGCCCGCGCCGCCGGGGATGGGTCCCACAACTGATCATACATACATCGCCCTCCGCGGTTCCCGGAAGGCGGGAGACCACACCACGCTCATTGCACCGACTGCGCCTCCGCATGGCTCTTAAGGTACTATCATTCAACGTCAAGGGCCTCAACTCGCCCAACAAACGTCGATTACTGGTAAGAGACCTAAAGACCAAAAAAGTGGACATTGCACTGATACAGGAGACACACCTCCCCAGGTCGGCAGCCACCAGACTGACGGACAGAACTTACACAACGGTTTATGAAGCACGCTCACAACGAAAACGGGCAGGGGTGGCAATACTCCTGCGCAGGAGCTGTCCACTGCACGTCACAACCACCCAAACTGACCCAGAGGGGAGATTTATATACATAGGGGGCACCCTCTACACCACCAAAGTGCACATCGTTAATGTATATGCCCCCAACGAGCCGGACCAGGTGTTCTGGACGAACCTGGAAATGTTGGTGGCGGGGGCGGGGGGGTCCTTTTAGTCGGAGGTGACTTCAATGCGGTGCCGAGTCCGGCAGCTGACAGGAGCTCCAAACCAGGCACAGTGCGATCGCAGGGCAGGGGGGGGCAAGACAGGCAACTACACACATTCCTGACGCACACAGCCCTCCTAGATGCCTGGCGACTACAACACCCAACTACGACTGATTACACTTACTACTCGGCACCACACAACACCTACTCCAGAATAGATAACATGTTCCTCAACGGCGCAGGGATGGCCAAAGTCCTCCACACGGACATTCACAATATCACATGGTCAGACCACGCAGACATAACACTCACGTTAGGCAATCTATGCTACAAATCCAATTGGTCCTGGAGGCTTAATACCAGCCTCTTAAGAGACGACACAACACAAGCCACAACCCGGCAAGCCATCACAGAATACTTTGAGTTAAATGCAACCCCCGAAGCTAGCCCTACCGCGATCTGGGCAGCGCATAAAGCAGTCCTACGCGGCCACTTTATTAAACTAGCCACCCAAAAAAAGAGGGCTAAAACAAAACAGCTACTCGACCTACAGTCTGCCCTACGTAAAAAAGAGCAACAACACAAAACGAATCCGACAGACTTGAACCTTAGGGAACTTAATAGCCTCAGACACTCTATCAGGGACCTCACCCTGGAGGCGGTATCACGCTCTATCCTATGGTCCAAACGCTTGTTTTACGAGAAAGCAAATAAGACAGACACACTCTTGGCTAGGGCGCTCCGCCCGAGGCTGCAAGGCAAAATCATAACAAAAATACGCACAACAGAAAACACGTTGGCCGAAACGCCCGACGAAATTAACGCAGTGTTTACCTCCTACTTCTCAGAACTATACAACCATTCCCCCCGCCTCCGGGCCACCAACGCGACTTATATCTCAGACATACACCAATTTCTCTCCGAACTCACTATTCCAAAAGTGAACGGGGCGGAAGCGGACGCACTACAAGAACCAATCACACAACTTGAGGTAGAGGCAGCCATAACTTCCCTAAAGGGCAATAAGGCACCAGGCCCAGACGGCTACGACATTAGTTATTACAAACAATTTAAAGATGTATTAGCCCCCCAACTGACGACCCTTAGCAACCATTTTCTGCAGGGCGGGCTTGATCCACCCAGATCAGGTGGGCTTTATGCCAGGCCGCCAATTGTATGAGAACACGAGACGCGGGGTCAGCACAATCTGGCACATGGGGGAATCCGGAGCGCCTTCTCTGGCGCTCTCATTAGACGCGGAGAAGGCGTTTGACAGGGTGCTATGGCCTTATTTATTTGAATTACTTAGATTCCAGGGGTTCCCGGAGACATTTGTAACAGCTATACAAGCACTATACACCGATCTGAGGGCACAAATACTCATCACAGGGGCACAAACAACGCCCTTTACCCTGGGAAACGGCACCAGACAGGGTTGCCCACTGTCCCCCCTGCTCTTCGCCTTAACCTTGGAACCACTACTACAAGCCATCAGACAGCACCCGCAAATCAGGGGCGTCACGGTGGGGGGAACACCATTCACGGTCTCGGCTTATGCCGACGACGTCATGCTGACGCTCAGGGAGCCGAGACACTCTCTCCACCACTTATCGCTCGTACTGGAGCGATTTGGCAATATAGCAGGGTACAAAATTAACTACTCTAAATCCGTGGCAATGCCCTTCCACCTGGAACCCCCGGAACTCACCCACATACGCGACACGTATCACTTCAAGTTAACCACTGACGAACTCATGTATCTAGGGGTACGCCTAACAGCGAACACATCCTCCCTATTTGCCCGTTACTATACACCCCTCTTCCGGACCCTTCTCGCAGAACTAGAGCAGTGGACGGATAGGCCCATCTCCTGGCTGGGGAGGGTAAACTCTATAAAAATGAACGTGCTGCCGAGGATACTATTCCTCTTTCAAGCACTCCCGATAAGAGTAACACGGAGGGACCTGACGGGAATACAAAGAGCGATCGATGCCTTCATTTGGCACAACAAACGCCCAAGAATTGCGCGCGCCCTCATGTACAGACCGAAATCCAGGGGGGGGCTGGGACTACCCAACGTTTGCACCTATTATCTAGCTGCACAGCTGACACAGGTGATACAGTGGCACACGCCTCCAGACAGGAGACGATGGGTGGATCTAGAGTCACTGATGATGGGTCAGGATCTCCCACAATTCTCCATATGGGCACCCAAAACACAAAGAGCCATACTAAGAACAGCGAACCCAGCCATACTCAACTCTATACAGATCTGGGACCAAACCAAAACGAAATACGCCCTCAGCTCCCACCCGTCCCCCATGACACCAGTCCTTAGGAATAGGGCCTTCCCTCCCGGAATGCAGGCAAGAGACTATAAGGGGATAGAGGCCACGGGACTCCAACGATACGTACACCTATATGTGAACCAAAATGTAGTCACATGCGAACACCTAGCCACCAAAGCTAACTTACGAACAAGAGACTACTTTAGATACATGCAGATCCGTGACTTTGCACAAAACCCTGACATACGGAAGGCGGCTCTGACACCACTAACCTTCTTCGAGAAACTATGTTACAATGAGACAACCCAAACTAAACTCATTACGCTACTGTACAACCACCTCAATGGGAACTCGAACAAGGAGGGCGCACTGCGATACACCGACCAGTGGGAAGCCGACCTGGGGGAGGTATTAGAGGGAGCGGAGTGGCAAGATATATGGGAAGCATGTAGCAAAACCACAATATGTGTGACACTCCAAGAGCAATCTTATAAAACTCTATTTCGATGGTACATGACCCCAGTGAAACAGAGGCATATGGGACTAAGTCCCACAGATGACTGCTGGCACGGGTGTGGGGGACGGGGTACGTATATACATATGTGGTGGGGCTGCCCGAAGGTCGCAGAATACTGGCGCAACATTGTGGAGCTCAGCTCCCAAATCCTACAAAGGCGACTGGGGTTAGACCCATGGGCATGCCTACTTTCAAGACCCACAAAAGACCTACCCAGACACGACCAAAGACTACTTAACATGCTCTATTTAGCGGCTCGGAGGTCCCTAGCACAACAATGGTCATGTCCAGACCTCCCACATATATCCCTGGTTAAGACAAAAATACGAGACAATTACATCATGGATAAACTGACCTGTCAGGTGCAAAACACTATGACCAAGTTCCAAAAAGTCTGGGACCTATGGGAGCAGTACGACACCTAGAACACCACCTCGGGGTGCGGGGCAGCATCCACGCAACTCTAAATTGGCGGGGCTGGGGCCCACCCAACGCCAACCACCACACCAATACTCGACCAGGCGAAAGAGGCACCACTACTAGATGAGCGTGGGGCCAGGCCCAGTACATAAAACACAGCTTAAGGGAATTGACCACCCCCATCGGTAGTCCATCTGGTAACCATATCAAACTGAAACTGTTAAACACGCATGTACTTGTCTCCAATTCCTTACTTTTCCTTTCTATCTATCCCTTGAAGGCAAGCACCCTAGACCAGCAAGTTGGCAGGAGGGGAAAGGCAAATAAAAACACGCCAACATTTTGCAGAGCGTAGAAGGGAGGGAGAGTGCAATTGCACACCCCAGGAAGCGGGGGGACTGACACTCTACTCTCTAAGCCTAACTCCTC